GGCAAAACACAATTGTCACTTGCATAATTTCAAGGAGTTGGGAGTTATAACTTAATAAAACCAATAGGGTAAAACACAATTTGACCTCCGATTGCAACAAATAAAAAGGTGAGGATAAAAGTTGCAATTCACTTAAACGTATGGGACTACGGCTATCATTTTCTCATAATATAAACCTAGTTGAACCTATCTCCATCCCTGCTAAATACATAAGATAATATTTTTTGTCGAGATCCTTAAAGGCCCAATGAATATATAAAATAATATACTTAAATCCATAAAAGTGCATACTAATACAAATTAACAAACTTTTAATCTGACAACAATTTTTCCGATTAGCCTATGTTTCAAAATATGCATTTAAAATCTTTTGCTTTTTCTTTGCACCTAAATCTAACTAAACTTTATTCCTAATTTTTTGCCATGCACATACTGCATTTGACATATTTTATTCATTTAGTACAAAGTAGTTATTTAATGTTACGAGTGCTTGAAATGCTTATAGTTGGTAAAACACATCATTTAGATCATGATCATCATTGATATGTATATTAAGTACCCATTGAATAATATAATATATTCATCAGTAAAAGATTTCATCACCGCGTCATTTTAACTAGGTATAGTTTAAAAGGTTCTCAACATCCACACATGTTGACTAGAATTACTTGAACAATTAATATATTAAACTTTGCAGCCAATGCGGTACATTAATGTTTCCTTTTTAATGTAAGTACGTGATTGCCTTTTTGTACATTTATGGATTAAATTTTGAATTTCAACACATTCAATTTTTTTTAAAATTTCCTACAAATATTATGGTAAATATAATATAAGTTATAAAAATATTAAATACTCTATAAATTAATAAATATTCATTTATCGATAAATTAATAAATTATTTATTTATCGATAAATTAATAATCCTTCTAAAAAAATATTTTTCTCTCCATCCCTACATTATTATTCTATTACTGTATCAATAGCAATTAAATAAAGCAAAATATGAAAGAAAGCAAGAAAACACACTATCTAAAACGATT